TCCTTCTGAACTCGGGTAGTTGTGGTTAGTACTTGGTTGAGAGACCACCTCTGGATGGGAAAAAACAAAACATAACACTGACTCTGTTAGAGATGGCACGATACCACTTTTTTATGTCCGATACCGATATCATAGATTTGGATATCTGCCGATACCGATGTGAATCCGATATAGTGTGTTTTTTAATCAATAAAACTGTTTTTTTAATATCTTGCTGCATTTTGTATAAGTTCATACTCAAGTTTAAATAAACAACAACACTAAAGCTATTCTGTTATACCTACGTGTAAAAAAATACACTGCACCCAAAATATTTCATAGTTCAGCAAAACTGATCAATCTAATGAACTTAAACCTATACTCCATCATTCCTATTCTGGTATTTTAAAGAGTTCTTAGCAGAAATATTAAGCAACCTAACTAATAGGGTTTCTCTCCGATATTAGATCCAGTAATTTACGTCAGTATCGGACCGATACGTAATATCGGATAGGTCCATCTCTAGAATCTGTGTAGATGACAATTTATATGGTGACATATGTCATTTCAGTTTATGTCACTTCTGCAATGCGAAGTTCATCAATAGTGTTGTCTTTTAATGGGTGAATATTCCCTTATTACAGTGCAGACTGCTGCTTCAGTGTATTTTTTTGTTACGTCACGGTATTATTTACCAGAGCAGCTCATATGAAGCAAATATGAGCTCAAAAGTCAAAAACAAAGATGAAGCAGCAGCGCCCCTGGTGTATAAAGACAATCATACAGTACTTGCCATTTCCACGGCAGTCTCTAATCCAAGTACCGAGCTGCTCCTGTTTAGCTTCCAAGATCAGGGGTGTTCTGAGTGGCCGTGAGCGTAAATATTCTGAGCTTTTCAACTGTAAAATATGTGTAAATAATATAATTAAAGGTCGTTCATGTTTATCAAACAAATGCGCAGAAAGTATGCAATACATGATAAAAAAAAACAACAAAAACAACAAAAACGGTACAACAGTGACATGTAGGAGTCAATACACTTTCCAGGTTTTGCAAACTGAAAACATATAAATAGAAAAACAAAGAGCAAGTTTGTTTTATCTTCAGTACGAATCCTAAGTTATTAAGACCTGATTTGGTCAGTACTTGGATGGGAGACCGCCTGGGAATACCAGGTGCTGTAAGCTTTTTTTTATTTATACACCAGGGGGCGCTGCTACTCCTCATCGGGGGACACAGCTATGGGGGAAAAGACTGAGAGGTGAAATTTTATATATTTATCAAAAATGGCTGTTTGTGTGGGTTTTACTTGCACTAAGTTCAACATTTCATTGTACCTCTGATCACAATAAGATCATGAGAGGTGGGAGAGTTTTTCTTTTTTGGGTGGATGTGTTGGGCTGCCCATAGCTAGAACCTGCCTCAGTGTAAGTTATCATGTTCACAAGTAATGATCTGGTATCATTGCTGAAAGATATACAGCAATCAAATTACAAATTACATCAAGGGCCAGTGTCCTGCAGGTTTTAGATGTGTCCTTGATCCAACACAGATGATTTAAATGGCTAAAAAACCTCCTCGGCATGTCTTGAAGTTCGCTAGAGGCCTGGTGATGAACTAATCATTTGACTCAGGTGTGTTGGCCCAGGGTGAGATCTAAAACCTGCAGGACACTGGCCCTTGAGGCCTGGAGTTCCACACCCCTGTCATAGATGATGACAGAAGAGTGGATGAAAAACTCAACTATCAGCAATGTGGAGGTGAAAAAAGAGTGATTAGAAGAGTGGGAAGATGGTTTTATTGAGGGGGTAGGCCTAAGGAATGAGAAGTGAGGTAAGGGTAAAGTGGTGTGGAGATGGGAGGAGACAGATAAGTAAAATAATCAGTATTTCTGCTACAAGAGCACTGAATTGTAAAAATGTTAATGTGTGCCTATTTGAGGAACTCCTTGTTGAAAGAATTTTTCATGTCACATTTACACATTTTTTGTCCTATCATCCTATCCTATCCTATTTGTCCTATCCTATTTTTCAGCTTTAAAAAGGTTTTGATTCGTATACAAAGCAGGATTTGTAAAGTGGTCGTTATCAAGGTACTTAACTAAAGCTAAACTGAATAATAGTTTTTATTAATAATTTTTAAAACGAACAAAAAGAATTGTCAGAAGTGGGATTCGAACCCACGCCTCCATTCGGAGACCAGAAGTCCCGTGTTGAGGAAGGTTTGTCACCTTGAGTCTGGCGCCTTAGACCGCTCGGCCATCCTGACAACTGCGATCCCCGGCCGTCAGAAAGCTGTTTCACTGCTGCTAACCAAAGTTTGCAGCTGAGACTTTGTATCACTTTGTAAAGACAAGCGGCATTTTTTAAAGAGTTTAGCGTAGAGTTTATTAAAAACCTTAAGTTTGTTTGGGTTACGGCTCACTTTTATTTTCTGTTTTTATTTCGTCTTTCCGTTAATAAGAAAAACATAGAGGCACTGCCAGGAAGAGAAAAGACAAAAAACACTACTCAACTAGCCGACCTGTGTTGAGAATTGGACTAAATAGCTATAAATATGCTTCTTGTTAGCGCCACACTCGCTTACGGCCATACCACCCTGAACACGTTGCATTACATTTGTTTTAGCGTCCAGCCTTTGTTGTTGCATATAAATATGTTTCCTGTTACTATGACAGTCGCTTACGGCCATACCACCCTGAACGCGCCCGATCTCGTCTGATCTCGGAAGCTAAGCAGGGTCGGGCCTGGTCAGTACTTGGATGGGAGACCGCCTGGGAATACCAGGTGCTGTAAGCTTTTTTTCATTTATACACCAGGCGGCGCTGTTGCTTCGTTACAACAAAGCTTTCAAAACAATAACGAGTACTTGACAATGTTCGTTTTTAATCCTTTTTTTTCTGTCACAGGATATCACGAGAGCACTTCCTTTTGTACACCAGGGGGAGCTGCTGCTACACCATTGTAGACGACTTTGACAAAACACTTGGCAAGAAGTCTGAAAGAAGGAAATTCATTTATTCATCCTTAAATAAATAGTAGAAAAAATAAAGAAAATCTCGATTGACGAATAAAGATTTGAACGAGACAAATTTCGTATAAAATGGGTTCCAAGAATTAATAAGTGACCCGTGCAAAATCAATATATTGATTAATAGATGAAAATTGGTAAAGTGAAGTTTTTCTTGGGGGGGGGGATCCTGTTTATTTATAGAATTTTTACATGTAGTTTGATATATCAGGCCTAATAAAACAAGTACCAATGATACAAAGACATACCTCAATACAGTTCAGGCCGTTACAATTTGAATGATTTTTGAGAACTACTGAACAGCATATAACTAATACCCATCCCAAGGTCCAATCCAATAACAGAAATAAATGAATAAATAAGTAAATAAAACACACACAGAGAGACCACCCTCAATTAAAACAACAACAAAAAAAAAAAAACAAGGTACTCAAAGTGATATAAATGATAAATTGCTGCCACACCTGTGAAAACCTATTAGCATTTCCTCTGAGTCTGAATTTTATTTTCTCCATTTTTAAAAAGAACATAGAATCTTTCAGGGTGAGAAGTTTTTCAAGACCGCAAAATTCTACGTTGTGCCAGCATTGAAGTGAAAGCTATAACGTCCAGCTGCTTACGGCTAAGGTTTAGGGTGGAATCTTCAGAAACACAAAAAAGGAGAAACTAGTGGACAAGGATTGTGTAACACTCAAAACATGAGAGAGCACTTCAAAATAAAAAGTCCAATATAACTGAAGTGTTGGGCAGGTAAAAAACAAACAAACATATGAGTTAATTAACAGGTAGGAGGTTTTGCATCTGTTGCACAGGTCAGGAATGCCGGTGTATATTTTAGATGTGTAATCTGTATACTGTCTTAAACTGAATATGCAGATGAAAATGAGGTATGAATTCTGTTAATTAGCCTACTTTGTCCCAGTAATCTTCGCCAAACCTAAGAAGTACCTGCTCCCAAGTGGAAACAATCATTTTGGTTGAGTAATCTTGTTTGCCCATATAAATGATGAAATCAGTGGGAAAAACATTTTTATAATATTAATCCTACCAAGAAGTTATACGGGAAGGTTTGCTGACCTTTGAAAAGCCAACCTTACATAGGTTAGCAATGATTAAAATTTGCAGTTTGGAAAGCTTTAAATGAACTGGTAATATGTACTCCTGGATATCTGAGGCCAGAAGACGGTAAACTCAAGTTTTTAAGCATATATTATAAATTATCAGTTCAAGACCGAGACGGAGATCTAAGTAAAATACATAACAGTTTTTTAAGCACAGACTCGACTTTTTATTTATTTATTTATTGTCTCTGGCAGCACTTTACATGTAGTTGAACTGACATGTGATTATGAATGAATTACCCTGAAGGAGAAATGTGCGGATTATAAACTACGATTCTGTTTCCGTATTTTATTTTTAAACGTAAACACGGTTTATTAGTAGTATTAAAATGCATAGTAGTCTTAAAACATGTCAGTGTTTTAAGACTGTCATGTTTTTTCATTTGCGGAGAAGGGACGATAATGTATCCTGTAAGATAACATGTTATATAAACGTAGTTAGCGAAGAACGACGAAAGAAATCAGCGTAGCCCACAGAAAGAAAAAAAGTATTGTCAGAAGTGGGATTCGAACCCACGCCTCCATTCGGAGACCAGAAGTCCCGTTTTACAGGAAGGTTTAACCTTGAGTCTGGCGCCTTAGACCACTCGGCCATCCTGACAACTCTGTCGAACGAGCCGAAACAAATACTCATATAATTATAACTCACTGTGTCACGATTGTGACTGCCAGAGATGCATCGAACAGCCATTTCTCCTTTAGGTTCTTTGACATCAGTTCAAACTGAGCTTAAATTTGTTTGTTTAAATGAAAGGATGGTTTGTTTCGCAGCTGTTTACGGAACAGCAGTAAGCAAACATTTCCGCCAGGGGCAGTATACATACGTTATGAAATACACTTCCGGTGCTTATACACGTGATTCTCCGCCCATCTCTCGCTACAGACCTTCGCTTACTACATAACAAGCTGCAGTCATCCTTATGAAACGCAAATACTGGATTGTGTCCACTGTTAGGGCGACTAAAGAGCCAATTGTGTAGAGAAGCTGCGCGTATTAAAATGTCCTTTTACAGGAATACTGTGTGGCTTGTCAAAGGACTCCAGGAGTATACAAAGTAAGTAGACAGTTTCCTTTTCTAATAGGACTCTATTATGTAGTCAAATGACTTGTAGTCTTAATTGTTTGCGGTACATATAGGCTACATAACCTTCCGACACGCCGCCCAAAGTTTAACTACATGTTTGCTTTGTTAGTGATAGCACTCGGTTACTGCGCGTTTGTGTCCGACAGCATGCTACAGGTAAACGATTACACAATGCTGCAAGCTTACCGTATAATCAAGACTACAACCTCAAGATGTTTGAAACAGTGAAAGTGCTTCTTACATGTTTTCTGACGTGACCAGTAACCCAAATTAACACAGTGGATAAAGACATGTATAAAGCAGGAGAGTGTCATTTGGAGGAAGACTGTTTTACTTGATAAATTACCCAAATTATTAGGCCGTTATATTTTGTGATTTGCTTATGGTATGCTTATTGTATCCTAGTAACCACACCCAATAGTGATGACACTGTTACATCAGTGCATGTAGAAATATGGGTGACAGTGTAATGTGCTCACACATTCCTCTTTGCTCGTACCAGGAGTGGCTATGAAGCAGCAGCAAAGCATTTTGTTCCAGCTGACCTGGATGTAAACCTGAATGGAAGGTCCTTCATGGTGACAGGTGCCAACAGCGGGATAGGGAAAGCTGCAGCGCAGGAAATCGCTAAGAGAGGTGAGAGTCTCACAGCTGACAGAAGGCACTTTTCCTCCTTCCTGCTGGTATTTGTGTGTGTCAAATGTTGATCATGTTTTCGTTTGTGTCTGTAGGGGGAACGGTTCACATGGTGTGTCGAAACAAGGGGCGAGCAGAAGCAGCCAAAGGTGAAATTGTTGAAAGCAGTAAAAATGAGGTGAGATTTTAACTGTTCATCTGTCTGAGTTTTTTCTTTTTTATACAGGAGTTCTCTCCCAGAAATAAAGTGAAGCTTTGCTTTTTCTTTAATAAAAATATACTCACATTCTTGTTTTTTTTTCCATCAGATTTTTAAAATGTTCTGTCAAGAAACGTGAATGAAAATAAAGCAATCAAACAAAACAAAATAGATGAGAATATTCATACCTGCTTTTCCACCCAATTAGATTAGACTTAAAACTAACCCACACCTTTAATTTTCCTGTCTATTCCCAGAATGTTCACGTCCACATTGTTGACATGTCGAGCGCCAGGCAAGTGTGGGAGTTTGCGCAGAGCTTCTCACAGAACAACACACTGCATGTGTTGGTGGGTAACTGCAGATATGTTGTGGCTCATCTGCAGTAAACATATTTTAACGTTAACGTTAATCTCAATCTGCTTATGGTGGTTCTCAGATCAACAATGCGGGCTGTATGGTCAACCAGAGAGAACTAACTGAGGAGGGTTTGGAGAAGAACTTTGCCACAAATACATTGGGTAAGACGAGAACACATATTTCAGATGGAAGTTTTAACAACAAAAAGGAAGCCGGGGTTTTTAAATCGTAACTTTGTGTAAAATGATAGTGTTCAACATTTTCTTTCCTGCAAAAATGACTTCTCAGGACTGACTGTTTTTAAGATGGTCTTAAAAAAACTTCCAAAATAGGCAAAATGTAAAATATTAACATTAAAATAAGCATTTTGTATTTAAATTTAGGGGAGGTGATTGTAATGATCACTGGTTTTGGCCTTATTTGACAAATTATGTTGTTATTTAATGTCATTTCTGCAAATTTGTAACAAAAAAAGTATGTGAAAGACTAATATTGGCTATAAATAAAAACTCTTTTGTGCGTAACTTTGTTTTTCAGGTACATACATCCTCACCACTGCACTGATACCTGCACTGAAGAAGGTCGAAGACCCGAGAGTGGTGGGTTGAATTACAACCGCACAAAAAAATAACCAGGATGTACAAATGCACGACTGAAAATGAACGATTTCTTCTGTTTCCGCTCCAGATTACTGTGTCTTCAGGTGGCATGCTCACACAGAAATTGGACGTGGACGACCTCCAATTTGAGAAGGGGACATTTGACGGGACCATGGCCTACGCTCAGAATAAAGTAGAGTGACTGAAAGACGTAGCGGTCTACAGAGGAATTGTTGTGGTATTTATATTGATATGCATTTTTTTTCTTTGTCTGGCAGAGGCAGCAGGTGATCCTGACAGAAAGATGGGCTGCTCAGCACAAAGAGATCCACTTCTCCAGCATGCACCCCGGCTGGGCAGACACACCAGGTGAAGAAAAGAAAGATACTTTAAAACTTAAGAATTTAACTGGAAGACAAAGGTTTTTCATGGAATAACAACCTTTGACAAGAGAATGTTGTCTCTGTGACTTAAGTTTTGAATTTTCTCTCTGTAGCGGTCCAGACCTCCATGCCTTCATTCCACGCTAGGATGAAGTCCAAGCTGAGGACAGAGGCCATGGGAGCTGACACCGTGGTGTGGCTCGCCATATCCGCAGCAGCCGCCAAGCAACCGAGCGGGCTCTTCTTTCAAGGTCAGAAACAGACTTGCAAATATCTAACATGGTTTTCTCTGTAATCACAGAGAGAAACTAAGGAACTTGAAGGGTAGCAAAAGATATAAATTATGTATTAAGCACTTGCTAATACTTTACTAATGCTTCATTTGAATGACATCTGTGTCAGTTTCAACTGGATTCAACCAGCAGCAGCAATGACTGTTCCCACAGCTGGGACTTCAATAATGAGGCCACAGAAACGTTGTTTCGCAGTAACATGTCTAGAATTAAACTACGCTTTCAATCACAAATAAGGAAATCCCTCCATATTTCTTCTTAACACTCAGATTAATGGACTTTTTTGGGTCCCTGTCCACCCAAAAAATTCTAGCTACAGTCACACAGTAGCCTGGGAATTATGAGTCTGTCATAATCTCGCTGTAACGAGACTGGCGCCTTACAGCTCACCAGACTCATCCATACTATTGTCCAAACACCTCTCATTCCCCGTGATGATCAAGATGACTGCTGGAAAAAGCTCCAGCATTGAAATTCAGTCGTTTCCTCTCTAGCTCCTCCACGATAGCGGACGTTACTGCAGGCAGTAGAACTGTCTGCGCTCTATCAGCTGGTAGAGACTGTCTGTTGCCAAGATCGTAACATGCAGAAAAACCACCGATAGATTTGAACACCTGGACCAGTAGCAGTTTCACTTTTTGCATAAATCAGAAGCAAAATCAACTCTGTCATTTTTACAGTCATAAATGAAATTTGTAATCACAGGTTATTTAGTTTGTTGCAAAAGTGATTCATGAGCGTAATTGTAGCTTAATAGTATTGATCAAAGATGTTCATTGTCAGGGACCAAGCAGTAAAGCATAAAGGACACAGGTGTTTAAATTCAAAAAGGGGTTTTATTGACCCAAAAATATGAAAATATATTTAACAAAGCCAAAACTTAAACAGGCAGACCAATAAAAGAGGTCAACTCAAGATAATAATTAACAAAACCTCAAACAAACATCAGATAAACTGACCTGCTGAAATGACACACGGGGAACTTAAATACTGGTTTAGCTAAACCAAATGACACACACGGGGAAAACAAGATGGCTGCCATATAACCAACTAATACAAAACAATTAAACACGCATGAAACACCCCCCAGGCAATGAAGCATGTGGTGCTATCCAATTAGGCTGTCAGTGGTACTTCAGCTCTCCCAGCCCTTTGCCAGACAGGAGGAGAAGCCAACCCCAGGTAACTCAAACAAAGAAAGATGTATTAATATAACATAAAACAGAACTTTGACCTTGCAAGGTTAATGTGTGCACGCCATATAAACATTGGAAGGTGTGATGGAAAAATAAATACATTTAATAAAGAAACAATATTGAACAATAAGTAGAATATTTTAAAGTAGTGACTGTAAATTAAACTAAGGTGAATCAACTGGTGGTGAGGTGTGGAGCTTACCATGTGTGGCATGCCATCACATTCATGTTTTTGTGATGCTGCAAAACTCCTATATTTAAACTTTTTATAATCGATCACTTAAATGTCACAGTTTTGTGTTAGGTCTCATGTATTCGCATAAAATGTCTTTCAGATCGTAAAGGAGTGGCGACACACTTGCCCCTCGCCTCCTCCCGGTCAACACCGCAAGAGGAGGAGAAGCTTCTGGCAGCGCTGGACGAGTTCGCCCAAAAGTTCAAACCTTAATACCTCAAAAAACAGTTTCTGTAAAAGGAAAAAGAACAAGCACTCGTCACAGATTACTAATGTTTACACAATCTTTTTTAATATACAGAAAAGCTTCAACCTCCAAGAACAACCTTTACTTAAAATATACAGAAAAACAAAATCTAGTGAAGTAAATGTGGTTGTTTACGGAAAGATGACTTGTACTTTATTTTTGCTCCTTGGTTAATCAAAAATAAATAAATATATATACTTCCTATTTGTAAAGCTTATGAACATATATGTACACACTAACAATTATGCATTTTAATTTATGTTGAATTTCTTATCTGATTTCATTAAATAAGAATTTTACCTGTTTACTTGCAGTTTCTTCATAAGGGGTTGTGTGCACCTGTGTTTCTGGTGTATTTTGGCTACTTTCAAATGTAATTTTTAAAGACGTTTCTCCCTGGGTGGATCATCTCCTTTTGCATGTGTCATGTGTTGCAATACCTGGGAAAAAGGAGAAAGTCTGTGGTGCCGAGCAAAGTCCGATGAAGCTGCTGAAACGAAGACTCCAGTTAAAGTCGTCGAATATCTGCCGGTTTCAGTTTGCAGTCAAAGAACTCAACACTGCAGCAAGAGCCCCAAAATCACAGCTGCGATCCAATAAACAAACACTGGACTCAAATACAGTTGAGCAGGTGAATACCTCCTCTTTTAATATGTAATTTATACACATAATTACATTGAAGGACACAACAATTGTTTTCTTTCCTGGGACAGAAACACAGACCACTGGCCAAAGACGGATTTATTGCATCCATTCATTTTGAATGCAGAAATCCTATATTAGTATCTAGAAAGATGTGCATCTCCTGTGCAGTCTGGGTTTTCACATCATTGTGAAAACCCAGACTGCACCAATTATCACTTCCACGTGCACTTCACATGATGCCAGCAAAGAAAAAAGCTGCTTTGTTGCAGTTCTTTGGATTTTTTTGTACTCCTGTTCCACGCAGGCACCACATTACATTAGATTCAATGCAGAGTGACAATAAATGAGCTTGCCGTGCATTCGAAATGACACAATTACTATAACGGAGCTGAAACACTGGTAAGGACCTTTAAAGTCTTAGTACCCAAAGTTTCACATTCACAAGTAAACAGCTGCTATACTTTTATTCGTGGCTGTAAAGTGACGTACAGTTTTCCATCGTTCTATAGTTGTAGAAAATCTCATCTTTGGGCTTGAACTGTACGAACACTAAGAATAGTTATCGGCTGAGCAGATCATTAAAGCACAAGTGTAATGATAACTAAAGACATACTTAGTCTTCACAGCATGAACTTGAGATATTTTTGCTTGTTGATTCCAGTGCATCGACAGTAAAGTCAGTCAGTATCGAGACGTTTAAAAACAGTAACAGTGGGGACAAATCAATGCCGTGTTCGTTAGCTTACTTTCTATTCTGTGCATGCTGCCACTGACGAGCTTGATGATATGTGCTTTTGAATGTCAAAAACGTTTAAACCACACTTACAATAATAAATAATCTCAGAAAACAGTTCCACAGCTGTAAAGGACAGGAAGTACAAAATGTCAGCTGGCTTCATGCTAGATTACACAATCTGAAAGGTGCGCTCTGCACATCAGTGGGTTTAGATAAACACTGTGTGTGCTTACACTACAACAACAAGAGTCTGCAGTATCATCAGTATCCTTGAAAACTTCCCAACCTTGTAAACTTTGGATTTCTTGCTCATACTGTCAATTTGTTCCAAATTTGCTTGTTCTGACATGATACAGAAGCGTGGTGAGGTTGCAAACCAAAGAGCATCCATTTGCCTGGAGTTTTTTTTACCAGACCAGTATGAAAACGCCACGAGGTCTGCATGATATCCAGTCTTTTAACACTCAGGGGACTGGGTGCATCTACATCTGAGGCCTCCATGTGTTTGCACACCAGCATTACAGTGCGTACAGAAGACATAAAGCTCCTAATGTAGGTAATGTAGTTTATGCAGGTTTTTTAAGTTGTTTCCATCCACAAGCGTTTCAGCATAAATCTGAACTAAAGCTGCGTTTTATGCTACTTCTTCCCTCTAGTGCTTGATATCAGGTGTTGCAGACTAAGAAAAAGTCTCCCTCGGATGATACTGTCAGGTCAGACCAGACGAAAAACAAAAAAAACAAAACATGATTTGTATAATAAGCGCACACAGTGTGAGTGATGTGAAGCACCTGAGAAACAGCACACTTGCAGGCATTAATGACATGCTCACGAGCAGCATTTACAGGCAAGAACTAGAACATCTTCTACACAAGTGACACCTGTTTTATTTATTTTTACTGCTCGAGGCTGTTTTTATTTTAGGTTCTATTTTTGACATTTACACCTGTAAAACACCCAAATGTTCAGTGCTTACTATGAACATATTGTATTTTCTGCTCTTAGGACACATGTGAGTGCCACGCTGCATTGATGATTATACTAAAACAATAAAATAAATGAAATAGTTGGGAAAACCTAAAAAAAAGATAAAAGAAAGTAAGTTTGTGAGAGAATTGGGCAGTTTGGAGGCTCACGCTTTGCTGCTATTTCAACTACAAACATTTTTTGTAATATCAGCCTGTATATACACAGACAACAAAGCCTAGGGTCTGAGGGTTATGTCAGTATGTTATGCCAAAAAGACGACATTTGGTGTTAAACAGGTCAGTGTGACAGTTTAGGTTGTCACTATAACAGGTGGCAGGTACCTAATGTTAAATGGAATATAATAAAAGGAGCGTCACTTTTAAATTCTCTGTCTGCAGAAGGTAAAAAACAACACGTGCAGGTCTGAACAGCTGCTGGTGCAAATGAAAATCATAAGCTCCTGTTTTGTTAAGGATCTGCAGCCAGTTCAGTAGGAATGCACGTTTGATTTTGCCAGTCTGTTTAACAAGGTGCTTCACATCTACAGAAAGTAAAGTCTGGGTTTGACAAGTTCCCGCAGTGCAAGCAGGTTTCATAAGACTGTTTCATGAATTTCCAGTTTGAAACTGGAAAGGAATGCATGGAAATTAAGTACATGAGGTGTGTCGATAACTTACAAAGGGAAATGCCTCAACCTTTCGCACACTGTACAGACACACATACACAGAGAGACCCACAGTCCACCAGCAACTCTCTGTAACCTTGTGTCAAACAAAGCCTGTATGGTTCTCAGGCTTCACTGGCCTGCAGTGCCCTCGCTGTAAATGTTCAACAGCCACCGCTACACGTTAAAAAACTGCTAAATATTATCCAGATGACATCGATCCTGCTGGAGCTCTCACCCTGTTTCTCTTCCCAGTGGTACTGGCACCTCGACAGTTTGTCAAACAGAGATTTCTGCTGACTGCTTGTTATCCACAGATCTCAGGACACCACAGGAGTCATGTCCCATAGCTGCAGACAAAACACAAGTAACCGTCAGTCCATTTAAGCAGAAACAGTTAAAGCTGTGTTTCTGTGACCCCCTCATAGCTCAGACATGTGCAACACTATCATCATCCGTTTGTTGGATTTGAATCAGATACTCTATGTAATTTGTCGACTTTAACTAATGCAATTTTTAAAAGACAGTAATTTAAGCGCATTTTTGACTAAATTAAGACGTGAATTTTTTAAAAATAGGAGAACAATATTTGACCCAGTAGCTAGAACTGGTAATCAGCAGAGAGGCAGTTATACAGTCAACAGGGTGGGTCAAAGAAGAAATACTGTGACGTACATATCACTTTGTTTTAGAATATGATTACTGACACACTGGGGCCCAATATAAATGTTTTTATGAAGGAACATGCGGGCTCTAAATCGACTCCTCCACATATTTGACTTTCCAGAGTGGCTACTTAATGGCTCTCTATGGTGGAGCTCAACAAATAAATGACAAAAGGGCAGAAAGCAAATTAGTTAACTGAACTGACATGTTATTAAAACCGAGACCAGAACGGAGAAAACCTGATTTTAGCTATTTTAGATTATATTCGTGCAATGTTTCGAGTACTGCAGAATAACTCAGTTGTGATTACAGTTACTCTGCTAGTCATATATATAAAATAGACAATTTAATTCTTTTAATTAAATCTTTTTCAAGTACATTGAAAAAGCCTGCACTGTGTATTATTTTACTAAAGGGAAAATTACATTAGTGCATAGTGCAAAGAACTACCTGTTCACATACCAGCCAAACACAGTGTGAAAGCTCAGTAGTCACCACTTTAGTAGCTCCCTGTAAGAGGCGTCTGACTCTTAAGTAGCAAATATTCTCCAGCTCACTCTTCACCAGCCAGTCTCCAACTTTGTCTGTGAGAGCTGCCCGAGAGGCCCAAAACAAATGTGTTCCCTCTGAGTGACTTCGGATTCTCCAAGCATTTAATCTAAATACGCAACACATCCTGATGTAAGGTTTATTAATGGGTGTTAGACTGACAGTCACAGTGTAGCACACAGTTTCCAGCTACCTGCAGTGTTTTATAGGCTTTCACATGCTCTGGATTTCCTTAAAATAAATAAATACTTGAAAAAAGACTTGACTACCACCTCGGACACTGGGGCAGTCCCCCCTAAAAGAGCAGTTATTTTAAGAGCAGGGATTGTAGCATAAACAAGCACGTCTAAACGGGCTGAAAACATAACCCTCATGTCTGAATGATCCGAACCCCTAGCTAAGGGTTACTGTCTGTGCCGCACGCCTTATCCAAGACTCTCAAACACAACAGACACTCCTTGTACTTTTACAGACCTTGACAATCTTGTCAGTGCCAGAGGTGAGCAGATTTCCAGTGGTGGGCTCGTAGTGCATGTAAACAATGCTGTGCTTGCTGTCGTGGAAGGTGGCTGTGGGTGCTCGACTGCAAGACACAAAGGCAGCGCCAGCGGTTATAGTGTGCGAATCACTGGGAAAGCTACAAAGGCTCAGTATATGACAACAACAGAAGCTGATTGTTACTCACTCCTCGTCACTGATGGACTCGTGGCAGCTGTCACACACGCGCACCTCGAACTCGAATCCCATGAGGGGGATGGTGGAGCGTTTGGACGAACATTTGCCGCACACTGCCTGGCCGCACTTCCTGCAGTGGTGCTGAGCACACAGGAGGATATGAACACATCAGCTTTCATTTAACATCTTATTTCTCATCAAAGAAATGGAGGTGGTGTTTTGCTTTTTGTTTTGTTTTGTCTTACAATGAAATGTTTAGCAAATGTATACGCCAAGTCAAGGCCAAGTTTTGAACTTTGTGTTTCGAAAGCTACAAGAAGATACTGGTTGTGATGCATTTTGATAATTGCTATCCAGCAGACAATCTCTCTCTCTAGGAGACTGTGTGAGGTCTGCAGA